CAAAAGAGAGTATATATCATTCAATTACCATTGAAGTTTCAATATTATAAATACGATATACAAAGCCCTGAAATTTAAGGGACAATTGATATTATATCCACATAATCCCGTCATATAAATAGCAGGTGAACTCGAAATTCGACCTAAAAAGTTATCCATGGCTTCGTCAGGTAGTAAGTCTAGGCGTTTCTGAACTCGACTATGGCTTCTCACGTTTTTACTACTTGACAAGGTTCATTGGCAGCAAGAAGCTCTTCGTTAGCCGCGTTAACTGTCTTGTTATATGATAATGGTTCGTATAGGCGTGCGATTTTTTCCTTAACAATCTCTTTTCATCTTTTATACAATAGTGTTACAGTTTGGGGACGAGGTGCGTGTTTCCAATCAACACCATGTTCATTCAAATTATCTTATATCTTCTTTTGTAGGTTCAACTCGTATGGGGATTTGAATGGTCTTTTGGAAGTGTCCTATATATTGCCGTGCGTCCTCTTTCTTCCCAAAACAACCATAATGGTGAAACTTCCGCTTTCTTATAGAGTCATTGGTCTGTGGTTGCGGCACTAATCCTCAATACCATAAGTAAGTTCTTTTACTCGTATGGGTTATTACTTGCACTAAAGATTCTGTAATAATCCCAAGCACTGTTCAAAGGCTTTTCCAGTATTGTCAGTTAGTTTCAACTTATGATATTCATCTACTTTCTTTTCTAATAGTTTTTATAGTCGTAAGCCCGGATTCCCGTAAAATAACTTGTCTAAACCTTTCTCCTAGTTGCTCTTTATTGATACAATGCCGCCTTTGGGGGTAATATCACTAGCAATTGCTCGTTATTAATAGGAACACGCTGACAAGACACTTCACAGACGCTGGTTGACATCCATGGTTACTGAAGGTAGTTTCCACTCTACATGAGCATATTAAAGAAACTCACTCCTCAATATAGGTTTACTCCTAGCACGAGTATTTATATATATTTCCTACCCGTTTATTATCTTATCTTATATTACTAGATCTACGCATTATACAATGGTAATAAGCCCCTCCTTTTGACGTTAATTCTCCTATACCTTGTCGAATTCGTTACAATAATAGCCTTCATTTACGAACAGGGCCATAACAGTACGCGCTTTATCACCCCTGTCTATGGAAACCCTTCATATGAACCATTCATGTCATTAGCGTTCAAGGACCCCGAACCCCAAAGTCCCTCCGTCTCAAATTGTTTCTATCAGTCGAGTTCGATAGTTGTCAGTGGTTTGGAAACATGGTTTCCGCTTTTATTATATATGGGTCTGCTTTGTAGTTTGATGATTTACAAAGCGTGGCGTGTTTATAAAGAAGACAAACCGGGTCGACTTTTAGGTGTTATTTTAAGAGATTGGTGCGTCGTTCATGCTAAATAAATAAATAAATAATTCACTAATCGTGTTGAATATAGCTTGTTTTATTATTTCTCGTATGCTCGCCACTTTTAGGAGACTGCACGCTTTGTAAACTAACAAAGAGCTGCAGACTTTTCTTGGTAGTCCTTATCAACTATGTGTTTTACCTTTACAGCCCAACTACCAATCCTCAATGGGGGTTACCGTAAGGAGAAACTCCTTTATTCTTCTATAGAGCTTTTGTTAATTCCTAAGCTTTAGGTGGTTATGCGTGATTCCAGCTCTTATAGCAAATCGATTGTTCCTCAACACTCGTCGGGAGTATTACAGACGGCGACTTAACTTGTCTTCTGTGCATCTTACAGATGCATTGGGTACTCGATAGTTCTAGCCTTCTCGGACGCGAAATCTACTGTAACGAAAGCCCCCCCACGATATCCTAATTGTTTTCCTTTTATAATTTCGGGGGGGGCGGATAAAGGATCACCCATGTTCTGACGGAGATCTTATTGTGTATTATCAAGCGACTGGCTGTATGTCTATATGTACGTTTTGTAATCACCATTCTATAAAACCCGTATTACCAAATGCAAATGAATTACGATAGGAGGCTTCCAGATGATCGCGACGGTAACCGGTAACCGCTCAATGCTCCGTTAGTATAATGTGTCAATCATGTATGTAAGAACGAGAATTCTTAGGCAAGTTAACCCGATTGATTATAGACCTCCCTATTGGGTTTGAAGTCGTCTGCAGTGAGCTCCCCCATCCCTTGTTTCATTTTTCTCTTTGCGGTTGCAGAGATTGAGACTTTAACTGTCAGACTAATTATTGATGACATCAAAGCTATTTCCAAGCAAGTCCTTAGTTCTTTCCCATCACCATCTGAATCCGAGTTCTTCTTGATTTCCGATGATTAAAGTTCAAAACGGACCAGCCCCTTGCTATTCGAGACTACTATTGATCTTACAAGTGATGAGTTTACATATATTGTTTGAAGACTGCAATTCAATTTTAGACGATAGGGAAGCCAGAGAGTCTACAAGCGGAAGCGAAATGACTTCATATTGTCATATTGTGGCTCATTTCATATAACAAAATTCCTGCTACTTTACGGCCACCGAGCATCCCTGTTAGACGATTTTCTTTTTTTTTAGTATTCAGTCGTACAAACGAGTTACTCACAGGCAACTTTTCCCACCTCTCTCCTCGACTGAAAATTTTTGGATCTGATATAGTCTTTAGACTCGGAGCAACTCGGGGGTTTCGCACCGGCACCTGGCAGTAATAAAAACCACTAGTATGTAGCGTAAGATTCACATCCTAGGAAGAAACTAAATTTTCTCATAAAAGTTAGGTACGACTCAGATAGCGGGGCGGTGGTGCCAACGGGCTCCTAATTCGTATCTTTCCGTTATCTGAATCCACGACTCTTAATTCCGAGTGGGCCGGTACCTCCGCCCGCAAAAGTGACATAAAACTACATCGACACCTCGCATCAGTTCAATCAAACGGTAATTTCTATATTTACGGCAGGGTGACCTGTGCTCCGAAAGTTCTTTAGTACAACTTTTCGCGGGAATGCCATACTGATAAAACACATGATTAGCGCGCCCAAAACTTTAAAGCAGCCATCGTCCAACTGCAACTGTCTATTGTGTCCGTCTGTTCCAGCCAATTATTCGACAGAAAGGGAAGGCACAAGACACACGTTGGCTTTGTTAATACATAACTACTTTTGAATTTTAAAATTTTTTTCACAAGTACATAAGCAAACTCATATACTAATTTTTTCCCCAGGCTACCAGTACCTACTAAATCCCTCAGCACCCCTTATACTTGTCCCTTCTCATTCTCATGACTATGTTTCCGGGTATGTAAAAAGATTTTTTTTGAAAGGCAATAAGTGTCACTCAATGATTTTTAAAAGCAAACTTAACAAAGTCTTCTGCACTTGCATCACTTGTCCTGATACTGTATGACTACAGTAGGTCCAATCGCTCGAAATCCTGTGGAAGTTTGACTAATAGCACTTATAAAGTTTTGTCCCTGGGGAAAGAAGTAGGTCCCGTACTTATAATGACAAGGGATCTTTATTGAACTCTAAAACGGTACGCCGTGTATAGGTGGAATACGTCTGGTCTTCGTCACTTTCATTGGGAAAATTTTTATACATGGCGGTAGGCCGTTCTATATCCCAAAAAGCGAAATTCATATACCACTATGTAGAATCGTTATTTATGTCTTGTGACTACGATATTCAACACGTTTCGTGAGCATTACCCTTGTGTCCCTAGCATGGTTTTTTGGGCTCATTTTGCTTCAAGAAATGTTTCATGGGACCTCCCTCATAGTAAGTATATTACTAAATGTCTAAATAGCTCATAACTAAACTTTGTGTTACACCCTGTGCAGTCGTAAGACTCTCATTTTGGGTTATGGTTGTCGATCATGATTGATCATCAAGCCCAACCTTTTATGGCGCAGATGTCACCGGATGCTTCAATATCGGATTTGGTCGTAAGCTCTTATGTTCTCTCCCTCTTTATTGTTTATGTTCAACGATAACTTTTATAAGACGAATGGCGATCTTTTGTGTTATTGAAGGCAAGCCCTTGTTAACAAACTTGGAGGATCTGACCAGGCTGATACTTCATCCATCATTCTCAAAGTACTATTACTTGGAAGAGTAAAGGGTTTCTCCCTCTCTTGGAACAAGTAAATATGCTCATTCTTGCACATAGGTCTACGTACTCTATGACCGCAACAAAACACTCCTCATTGCCTTAACAACGCTATATCTTCTAGACAATATCGCGGTGGCTATTCTAATTTATGCAAACGTCCATCTCAGTAAGTGTTTTTCTCTAATAACTCATAAGTCTTCCATTCTAAATGCTTTATCTTTCAGCGGTAGCACATGCTGGTCATCTGCTTCAAGGATCCCTAACTATATGTTATTATCAGTCTTCCCCTCGTATTTGGGCACAAGCGTTATGGTTTCCTCTTCCAATTTATATAGCCCTTCTTTTTGTTTTAATGATTTATAAGGCTTGGAAGGTGTATAAGGAAAAAGATAAGAGTGTCCTTCTTCGTGTGATTCTAAGGGATAGGTGAGTTCTAGTTTATCCTTTGAGCTGGTCTAACCACCATGAGTTCTTTATAGCCTGTGTTATTACTTCTCGTACGTCCTTCTTATCTTCAAACCATCAAGTATCCTCTGATTATACACCCTATCCTCAGGGTACTTGTTGTTATATCAATCAATCTCATCTTGTTTATGGTATCACCCGATCATCCACAATGGGCTTTAACGTCAGTCTTACTATCCCCTACATCGTGATGATTCCTGATTCCGAGCACCTCATTGACCTCAACACAGATGGCTATCCGCTCTTCCAGCTGTTACATCCAGCCGATTGTTTCTGAATACACGACAGGAAGTTTTTCGAAAAAGATCATTTTCATTTCATATATCGCCAGCTATAGGGGATGATGATACTTTTGAAGCTTAAATTAATGAATTGTTGTTTACAATCTGTATTGCATTATCATGGTACAACCTCCACCGAAGACGAGTAATATCAGTTGCAAGTTGAAAGCCTCAGCATTGCTGGTGAGGTGGCCGAGTTGGTCTAAGGCGTGAGACTAAGGTGTTCTTACCGTATAATCTCATCTCTTCGGAGGCGCGAGTTCGAATCTCGCCCTCATCACACCTTTTTTAATACTTTTGATATTTCTATTTTTTTTTTTTACAATTTACACACACCCCTTTTTCAGCAAATTATCAATCTTCTTCATTATGATGGTCTTCCAGACCTTGATTATCCTTCCGTAGCTCTTCATCCTCAATCGCCAGGTTATCTACGAGTTCTTCTTCGGGCTCGTCGTCACCATCTTGTTCCTCCTCATCTTGCTCCTCATTCAAATCTTCCTCCACAGCGTCTTCTTCGTCGTCGGCGTTTTTGAGAATAACTCCTTGACCTTCCTGAGTACCTTGATCCCCTTCTTCTTCCTCTTCTTCCTCGAATTCTTCTTGAGAAGGGTGACGCGTTGAGCCTTCTTCGTCTGGGTGTACTGTTTCTGACAATGTCTCCTTTTCTTTACCTTTACTTTTCGCCACCGCAGCAGAAGTTTTTGGTCCTTTCCCTGCACTGCGATAAACTAAATAAAGAAGATGACGGTTATGGTTACATAAAGGTTGGGGTTATAAACTAGAAATAAAGTACGTACTTTCAAGTTCGCCTTCCAATAAAGGGACAAACTCGCTTAATTCAATCAACTCTAAAGCTTGGAGAATGTCTGAAGCAGCTATAGTCTTCCGTGAATGTGATGCTGCTACTTCGTGAGCTCTATAGTCATCATCCCTCTGATTAGAAAAAGTTATTGAGTTTTTTTTTCTTTCGTAAACCTTACGTTGCAGCTATAAGCGCGAAAATTAAGTCATGATTTGACTATATATAATAAAGATTCATACCTAAAAAATTAATAAACACGGTAGCACTGTCTACAAGCGCGTTGACGGTGTCTTTTTGGAACTTTGTTTCACCTGGAAGCTGTGTTTTTTCTTTAAAATCCATACTTCCGCTCAAGTAACAAACATTTAATAAGAAATGGCAATCACATTTGATTTTGCGATTCGCGTCACCAGGGCTTTTGGAAGTTGAAAACTTTCAATTCCTTCAGCGATGTTGTCCTGTGTACGAGGTGGCATGTGTTGGTAACCCGGCAACGAAATGGGAACGAGTAATTGAAGCGGAGATGACGCGAAAGTCACGGCCTTCCGAGTCAGCCTTCCAAGTTATCGACGACTCCAAAGTTAATTCAAAACCCTGCGTTATTTCACACCATAATAACAAATTTCATTAAGCAAATTCAATTTGAATTTGAATTAAAAATTCTCTTTTACATATTCTCCGTTCACCTCGAACCTTGATAATTGGAATGCGCCATAAGTTCATGTCTCGGCTAACAGACAAACTGGCATCGACGACGCGGGGGGAAAAAACGTTGCAACTTTTGATGTCGACTCCAAGGTACAAGTCCCTTTGCTGGCAAATCACCTTAGCAATATATCGATTTTTCTTTTTAGTTTCACTCTGGCTTACTTCCCGGCGCATCGCTCTCCTCGTTTATGAGGTCCTTTCACGCACTTTCCACCGATCTCTGGACTTTCAGATTTCAATAACCAGATCTCGATTCTCGCTAAAAAAACAAAACAAGCACAGCAAAGGTATTTGACGTAATCTTAATAATGGGTTTGGTGTTTATCACACGTTTCCGATTCAGACAGAAAGTCCTTCCCGATTCGAAATTTTTGATTGCCTTCATATAGGTATAGGTTTGCATTTCTTCCCAGAATTTTTGCCTATAATGAACTTGGGAAAATAAAAGAGGTTTATAGTCGATGCGGAGTGTTAGTCTCGTACAACAATCGGTATCACATTTTTTCATCCACTTCGGCACTCCAGTCCTCTAAGTTTGAATCGGCGAATTATCTGTCATCGGTTGGCTCTCTCGAAAGTAACCCCGCATGAGACCGATGAATTGAAAGGAGCGATACGGAGGAGAGAGCCGCTGTTCCTCAGGAACGTGTGTTTTTTTCCAAAGGGATGATCTTTCGCTAAAACTCACAGGGACGTACAGATCGCCAAACTCCAAAGTAAAACATGTTAGAGGATTGGAAATACATATGTAGCTATGTATGTGCCTCTGGTCCCGCGGAAAGAGGCGACCCCGAGTCTTGATTTCGATAGCGCCGCGCCACTCCTATTCAAAACCACCATCACTTCGCCAGTTTGTCCCGAAGACGCATACTACGTATTCAATTCCCCCATCAAGGAGGGTGACAAGAAAAAGCCGGTCTAGGCTCTCTTATAATCACAGTACATTCCATCCGTATCCCTCTACTATGTGTGTTCAGAAATGTGATCAGCAACAAAAAAAAAACCAGTTGACTGACGTGACGCCCAAATTTGTGAATGCTCCACAGACGACAACGAGCAAAAAACCAACCAAATAAGCCGATATGATCAAAATAGAGTAGCAAAAGGAACAAGTATTGATCTAGTTCAATTGGGGGTTTCGGCATCATCAATCATTCTTATCAAGGTTGAAAAAAAGAGGCGTTCCTATCCTAATGAATTAGTTGTGAGTAATATGTTTATTTCACCTCTTGAGTCTGGAAGTAATTACGGATTTCAAACTGGCGATTCAAATTACAGCTGGCTATTAAATAAACTCATTTAATTTCTAAAATGGCAGGTCATCTATACCTTTTTAGGGTTAATCAGGCGTTAATTTTCGAACTTAACTACGGTAAAAAGAGAAAAAATAATTATGCTATGAAGAAGGCACGTTTCTCCGGCGCAAGCAAGGGGAGGGGACAGACTCCATGATGAGCATCCCCGATTACCTATATTACTTATGCAGAGCGCCGGTCAATTCACTGCTTGTCCAAAAACCTTTTTTTTTCACCGTAGCCTTCCTCTATTTTTGTTTACACATCCTGACTACAGGTTGCTAACTGAAACTGACCAGATTTGTGTTACAGTTTCTTGTTACGCGTTTCGGATGCCACCCACCCAAAAAAAATCATATCTAAACCAAAATAATAATAATAATAATAATAATACTCTCAACGCTGATGCCGCAAAGGAGACTCCCGTTCGACAGTCAAGGTTTTAATGCGTGCCTGTTTTCCTGCAATTCACTTAACAACAACACCCTTTCATTCTCGGCATAAAGATAGGAATGTTATAAAACAAGAAACGCAAAAACTAACTACCAAACTCCTGAATTCGGCTTTATCCTTTGTTGCACTGCTTTAGACTGCCACTTTTTTTCTCTTCCCCTTTCTCCTGTATAAATGACATCCCTCAACATAGATTACATTATGGACGATAGCACCGGAGAGATTACAGATACAATATTCAGTGATCTTCACGACCGTCGATTTATCCGCCTTCAAACCACTTTGCGCAGACAAGACCAAATTGCCGTTCAGGTTTTCGACTTTGGCAATATTAATCCTTCCTCATATTCTGATGACTACCATAATTTGACTTGTGCAAGTGTCGTTTTTAATACCTCTGGAAGTTCAATTGGTACAGTCAAATATGAAGGTTGGGAAGCGCCAGTACCTATAGAGAGTTATCTTCGCCGTCCACTTATGTCTTTGTAAGTCAAAGTCTTGATTTTCTTTCTTAATTATCATTAAAAATTCTCCCACAGCTCTAGCAGTCGTACTTTTGTAATGTCGGATGGACAAGAATACAAGTGGACAAGTGATACTAAACTTGGCCATAATTGGACTGTAAGTGGCCAATTTTTATCTCCTCTCCGCCGATGTAAACCTAAATGTATTCCACAGTGCCTCACTCCTCAACGTTATGTGGCAGCCTTCTATGATGTAAGCCCAAATTCCGCCATATATTTTATTGAAAAACGTCTTGATCCAATATTCCCCAGGTTCGACAAGAGCATGCACCTCAATATCCCGGAAGTTCAGGAAACGTTTTATCAGTAACGCGTACAGCTTCACACCTCTTCATAGGTGTGTTGGTATTGATTGATTCAATTTTTTTTAATTTTTTTTAATTTTTTTTAATTTTTTTTGTAGAACTTGTTACGACCCTAATGATAATGCGATACATTCAAGCTCGGTCATGAACCTGCCACGACGTCCGCTGTATTCAGATGATAATATTTCCTTTACTATAGTTCCCACTAAATTGCTCTCAAAATTACTTGTATCCTTTGTCCTAATATTCTAATCCGTATAACGCCACTTGCCACAAATAAATATTATTATTTTCAGAAAAAAAAATAATACAATCATCTTTACTGATGATACTTGAGCATGAAAATCCCTTTAGAAAGAAAAGAAGAAGAAAAGAGGTTTCACAACTCGTCTAAACCCATAGCTCGCAGGTCGGCATTAACCTTATCCAAGTTGGACACGAATTCAGCTTTCAAATTTTCCCACATCGTAGGATCATGTTCGTGTAATTTACCAGTCCTCTTCATAGCGTAATCAGTTAAAGTGAACATCATACTCGATTCAAACATGAAAGCTATAAAAAAGATGGATAAGAAAACAATAATTTCATTCAAAAGGTCATACCTATTGTGCCTTCGCTGATACGCTGAGGAGTCAACTCCATCTCGCTGGCTGCTTTAAATTGTTCATAGGCGACTATGATTATTTATTATCAGCGTTCAAAAGCTGGCTGAATGAAAGGGGGAGAAATTTTCATCGCACCACCATGAGGACAGAATCCGGTCTCATAACTGGCACCTCCGGGAGCAAATCCATCACTTCGACCTCCATATTTTCCATAAATCAAGCCCATAAATTCGGTTGCCGCATTCCTATGATAGTACTAAAATAAAAAAATCTAAGATAAAAGGCGCTTCAGAACAAAAAAAAGGTTTATTGGCTAACCGGTGGACGGTATGTTTCAGATGCCACGTCCCATCTAGGGCTGAAAATAAGGAAATCGGCGAGTGGTGTCCCGGGCGTCTTAGATTTCACTGTGAGAACGCAAAATATTGACGGGTCAATGTGGTCCTTTTTTTTAAAAAAAAAACAAATAATTTGAATTTAAATTTTCATGAATATGGAACATTACATACTTTGGAAATTGATCCCACATTGATAAATTTCTCAAGATTGTACTTGTAAGGAACATAGCTGAAAAAAAGGGGTTAA